CATAGCAAAGCCACAAAGGGGGCTTCCTTAAGCCAAACCCACTGTGGTGGATACGCTCAATCTGATACACCACCAGGACCCCTTAGAGATAAGACTGCGTGTCAGCTAGTCAGTGGTGTGCAGCATGCAGGAAGGGTGGAGCAATGGATTAGAAATTGTGTTGGGGAAAAAAGTATAGAGAATTTCAGAATAGTGTAGCTCACTGACATGTTTACAGGTGCTGTGAAAATTCATGCCTCAAAATGAAAATAAAAGTTCATAATAAATAATGGTATTGCCAAAAAAAAATTGTGTTGAGTAAGTAGGTGGGGATAAAGGCTCCAGGTAGTGTAGTGGTTGTGCGCTGGGCTGCCAACCTCAAGATCAGCAGTTTGAAACCACAAGCTGCTCAGTGGGAAAAAGATGAGGCTTTCTGTTCCCATGAAGAGTTGTCTCGAAAAAAAAAAAAAAGGAGTTATAATCTCGGAAAACCACTGGGCAATTCTAAATTGTCCTATTGGATTGCTCTGAATTAGAATTGACTTGGTGGCAGTGAGTTTGATTGATTGTTTTTGATGGTGGGAATGGAGTGGAAGGGCGGGCGGGGAGGTACTATGGGGCTGGAGGCGTGGCTAGAGGAGAATGGGGCACGTGATTGGTGAGCTGGGGGCTGGAGGCGGGGCTTGAGGGAGACTTGGGGCCTTGGCCACTGAACCAGCGTCTAGGGCAGGACCGCTTCTGAGGGTCGCTTAGGAGTCGGGGGACAAGAGCACCCCATCCTGGGGTGGGAGTTCGCAAGGTGGTGGTCTTGAGGGCAGTAGGAACGGCAGTTCTGGGTGCCCGCAGCCAAGATCGCAAGCAGCTCGTGAAGACGGAGGGGCTCACGGAGATACTGGATTGGAGAGTGCATTCCTGCCGTGGGCCGCTCACCTGTGGGTGGGGCTCAGGTGTCAGGGGTGGAGCTTCGACAGTAAGACCCGGCCGGAGGTTTTAAATCGGGGTGGCTGAAGCCCCAGAAATATTGCTGGGTTTCGTTGTGTGCTGGGCGTGGTGCTGGGTGGGGTTTGACGGGCACCCCTTCTCGCTTCCCTTAATCTATTCTC